TTTTTTTTTTTTTTTTATAAAATTAGAATAGTATTGATCTCTATTACTCTTTTTGGCAACCCCCTGAATCCCACTCTGGAGGCAAATACTTCACTTCCTTCCCCCAATCCCAGCTTTGCTACTCATTGATGATTTCTGCACAGAAGACCACAACACAGTCAGTTATTTCACACCCAACTCTGCAATACTCTAACAGGACTCACTCTGAATCTCTTTAAGAAAGAAGTCTAGGTTAATGAACCCAATAATTAGTCTGTGACTTCCCAACAAGCGTAAAGTAACACTAGAACATTAATTACAACTACCACCCCAGACTTGAGCTATCTGTTACATGTTGTATACATAAATAGAATGCAGTAACTAACTTAAATTAGTAATACTTGATCATGACATTTTATTTTTTAAAGAGAAAAAAACAAAATCTCAACAAGCAAACAAAAAACAACCAAAACGAAATGACAACAGCAAAACAATTAATGTAAGATTTCAAAACAAGGACCATCACATTTTAAAAATTACTTTATGAAAGGTATTTAATGAACCAAAAGATAGCATTATTGATTTTATGTTTAAAATGCTCAGGCTTCTGCTGACATTCTCCAGAAAAACTGAATATATAACGTTCTGCTTACTATGGGACTAATTCAAAAAAACCAGGCTGGCAGAACCAGTTTCAACAGAGGAGAGAAGGTGGTTTAACAGTTCCATTTTCCCTGTGTATTTTTTTGATCTGACACTACCCTGCATAGCACTGAATGCACTGACTCTAAGGTTGATGAAAGGAGTACACTGAGCCAGCCATGACGTATGTGGGAGCACCACCATGACACAAGCGTCGATGATGCATCCTCCATCATACGCTGCACTCTGAAGAAGTTCAGTGTTTCTGTTCTCTATTACTATGCCTAAGTTTGTCAAGGGGACAACAAAGGCAACTGCTCCAATTTTCTTCAACGGATTTAGGAGGCCTGGACCACCAACATTACTTCCTTATACTGGCAAGGAAAGCTGTTAGCTGTTAATGTGTAATGTTTATTACAGATGGTAGACAAAGTTTAGATAAAGAGTGACACAAACTTGTATTTTCTGACATTTTATTTTTACAAGGATGCACTTCAAAATGTCACTTTTAGATAGATAACAAGCAGAGTCTCAAGGGCAAGCACTCACCCACACGAGCCTTTAAAACTCCTATGCCTTTTCCACACTGCACAAACAGTATGCTAGGTATGTACCTCCTAAGTGGAGTATAGAAAATTCTTTGTAATTCTATTGTAATTTCATCCTTAAAAATAATGGTAAAGTAACTCACATCAGACCAACCCTCTTGCTCAAAACAATTATAAACTTTGGACAAATTACAGTATGAAAGGCATGGAGAGCAACCAAAAGCAACCAGAAACTAGATGGGATGTGAGTGATGGGAGAAAGAAAGAAGCAAACCATAGGAAATCTGTATTTATACTGTTTTCCCCTAAATGTGCTTCTCAGCCTGCACAGCAAAACGGGAAGAATGTAAGCCAACAGTGGACATCTGACTGGGTAAGGAGCCAGAGCAATCTGGAGCTGTCAAAACAGCTGGAATTTGACAGGAAAAAGCCTAGAAAAGACAGAGCCACAAGAAGTACCTCTAAATACGAACACAACTCTACTCAAATCCTTCAATGACTGCTGACTATGCGGAAGCAAGATGAGACACAGGGATCCAAGAGAAAGTGAAAATTAGAAAGCTTAAAACACTGAGCAGAAGGTTTCAAGTCCTGACAAATTAGAAGAACTTGACAAGTACCCCAGAGTTTGCAAAACCCATCACGCTTTCCATTGAATCCTCTCAAAAGTCCCATCTTGGAAATAAGGACAGACAATGCCCAAGGGCTAAACTTTGTACTGTTAAACTAAGGGCAACAGATTCACCCCAAGAAAATCTAAAATCAAGACTCCACAGGATCAAGGTCATCTGCCAGCAATGGGACTGCTTAGTAGGACAAAAGCATTCTTCAGTGAAAGAAAAACCTTAAAAAGCATCACCCTAATGTCCAGTCAATAATTAAAATGTACAATACATGTAAAGTAAAACTCCTCATACTCAAGAAGCAGCAGATAAAAAAACACCACAGAAAAGCTAGATGTTTAAGATTGTCAGTAACGATTTTAAGTAACTCTAATAAATATGCCTCTAAAATACATAATTTGTAAATTGTACAATTCATATCCTTGTCTACAGCATCCCAGTGACTTGAGTTGCCTATGATTTTTTTAATCTAAATGGGGTTTGAAATGGTTTATATTTGAAAGCCTGAAGAAAACTTCAAAGTGATTAATGATATCCAAACTTAATTATACCATATATTAATACCTCCCAATACGACAAAGGAGAGAATAAAGTGTCTTATTTTTCCTGTAGTGAGAGGGCTTTATTAAAATCTGACAGCAACTATTTGGCAGCAATAATTGAGTTTTATGCAAGATTACACAGGTTTTCCTTGTCTGGCATCACCATTTGAACACACAGGGTACTTAGGCTCCAAACGGTGAGAAAAAATGCTGAGCTGTGTACAAAGCCAATCTTTAAAAGTACTTATCCTCATCTGTCAATGTGATCTTATCAAGGGTTTCTATAAGTTATATAAACAATCATTAGAGTTTAGCTGAATCAGTACTTAACAGGTCGTCAGATAGCTTCTACTATAAAACATTTTCCACTAATTCTCACTCCCCCCAAAGGAATCTGGCTTCAACTTTCTTTCCTTAATCCACTAAGCAATCTCATGAATAAAAACATAATCACATGCCCTGTATGCCTGATGTAATTTTTATAAATCTTCTAAGTGTTATAATATGTATTTACTGTTTAGTGACAATATTTACTGAACAAGCTGGATTACCTTCTCCCCCTCTACCCCAGGAGTGGAGGGGAAGGTAGGGTTGGTAAAGTTTTACTTAAAGAATGCCAACTATACATTATTTTGGTTTAAAATTTTGCTTAAGATTCTGTGAAATCTGGCACAACATTTTTGAATGTTTATTGCCATCTCTGGGGCAATGTTGTGACTTCTTTTGACCTTGCTAGTCCTCAAAGTGGTAATATTACCTCTACTCAGGTAAGCCCTCTCTTTTTACAACTTCTGTTGTTTATACTGGTCTCCCAACAGGACAACTTTGCTCTTTCTTAAGGAGCATGTTTGCCTCACAGCAGTGTTAGAAGATATCTGAGGAACTCACACCTAACCATACCCGTACAAATTCCATTGTATCTACAATTAACCACAGGAACAGAATTTAGACAGACCCATTTTCATCAGCCACAAAGTAAGTTCCTGCCTCCTATCAGTGTTCATTCCAAAAAATTGAGGGCAACCTTGCCTTCCTAATCTTGCTTGGAGAGTTTGAGACTAGTGACTCACACAGCTGCTTCCTCCCAAAGTACCCCTCATATATGCTGGAGCCTGGGCTCTCCTAGAAACCATCTCTCCCCATGATAGATCGTAAATATGTAGGGCAACAGATAGAACCAATGTGAACACTCTCCCTACACAAGTCACCAAGTTGAACTCTGTCCAAATAGCTTGCCTCTCTCTGTAGTACTATCCTGGATGCTTCATGAAACAGCTTCAAAGGGAAGAAGCAATATCTCATTATTTAAGACAAACAGATAAGAGACACATGAATGATTACACATACTGATATGGTAGTTCAAGAAACACATTGTTAAGCAATAAATACCAAGTACTGTACTAGGTATTAACTATGCAAAACTTTTGGCTAAGACCAGGAACTCACGAACTAGTAAGAGATATAAATGCATCAACAAGTGATCGTAATGTAATGGGTTAACTACTACCAGAGCTGAATAACAGGATAAAGCAAGCACCAGATGCCTTAAGGAGACTAAGTGAGATTCCCAGTACCAATTCTAAAATATTAAGTTCCCTCCCTTATTTTCTCCAATTCTATTTTATTGGAGGAGAATGCTGCACATTCTTCTTTTTCCAGCTAGAAAACCCAATTTGACCAGTCCATAATCAGTTACATAAAATCTTTCATTTCCAATGTTATCTTTATTCCAATACAAACAAACTACTGTTAAGCTTTACTGTCATCACAGCTTAAAATATTTTCACTTTGTTGAAGAAAATTGTTTCTGACTTGGAAAAAAATTTTTGTTTACGACACTAATCAACTTAGACCCTGTGTCAGAACAAACTTGACAGAGAAAAGAATATTACAATTAACATAAGAAAAGGGAGAGAAATTTCACATTATTAAGTTTATTTTTCCAACATTTTCCCTGAAATAAATGGGTACATGTTACTACCAAAACTTTTCAACTGAAGTTAAAAAATAAAAATGGTCCAGAGAAGCTATTTATGAAACTACCTCACAGCCTTTCTGAAACAAAAGGGACAGCTAGACTAGATGGTTAGACAAAAAACAAAACAAAACAAAACAAAAAAAAAAACGCTCTTGAGTCAAGAAGTACTCTAATAGTCCTACCCCTGCCTTGTCTGTCCTCTTTAAACCCCGTAAGATCGCACACACCCACAACCTCTACCCACGACTCTTCCTCCCTAGCAATCTCAAGTGTGAAATTGGATTTCTTATACTAGGGGGGCAAGTTTCATATGACTATATTCACTTACACTTCACAGAATTAAAGTTAGTAACTATTTGGCTTGACTTAAAGACAAGATCATAGCTACAATGCTAAGGAGAGATTTTAAGTCTACACCTTAAACTGAAAGGTAAAACAGACATACTCAATATATGTTATTAACTAGCCATTTATTGATAAGTCTTACTCATAATGGAAAAATTGGTAAAATATTAAGTTCTTATTAATCATTTATCTGCTATCCATATCCTTCCATCCTTATCCACAAAAACTAATCAGAGCAGTCTAGGAACCAGTAACATCTCATAAATGTATTAAAAATAAAGGGCAGCCTAATTGTGTCCAGTGTTCGACTGTAAAACATGCAAATTAGAAAAGAAAAACTTACTTGCAGTATCCTGTGCCATTGTGGTAGGTAACACAAATTCCTTCATTTACACAGGGCTCATAGTCATCTCGACACTGCAATGCTAAAACAAAACAAAATAAGTACATTAGACATAAGCCATTGACCATAACCCTCAGATATCAAAGAGCTGTCATTCAAGTCAACTTTCTTCCCCATATCCAATGCGACTGGGTTTCCCTTTAGAGTTTTAAACACGTTTTCATCTTTTGGCTTCTAGAGTCATGTAAGCACAAAAATTCATTCCAGAATTTACCTCCTACATTCATCACAAAAATGTACCATATCAAGAATCAGTGAAACTGAAAAGGCAAAACAGAAAGAAACCTAGTCTCCCAATCAAAAATCAAAATTGAAGTTCACCAACTCTTTCTTGAGGGCCATAAAGATGTTCCTCGCCTCAGAAGGTTTGGGCACACAAACACCGAAAGTCAAACTGAGAAGTTTCCACCTTTAGGTTCTCTAGCCACAAAATTCTATGTACATACTATGCAACAGCACAGTATGTAGGCTTGCCCATCTTGAACACCAAAACTAGCTTCTTTTCACAGAGTGCCAGCCATACACAACTCCTCTACCAATATACTGTGTAGAGAGCCTGTTTTCCCAGTGTTGTATCCAGTGGTGAAATCAAAAACATGATTACAGGAATTCCATCATGCTTTAAACAATACTGCTTTAAAAATATTAATAACAACAGCTAATAAATACCACTTACTAAATAACAAGCACTAAGCACTTTACACTTACTAACCAATCCAATCTTCAGAGCCCTAAGAAGTAGTTAACTTCATTACACTATTCCACAGGCAAGAGGACAACTGATCAGGCTACTGTCACACTAGTGAGTGGAAGAAGTGGAATCTGAACCTAGGGAGTCAAGGTCGAGCAACAGGTCCCTTATATACACTGTTTCCCATTACCTGACACTCTCCTTCACAGAATGGGATATCACCGTACCCATTTACCAGAAAATGAAGCCCTGAGAGGTTCATTAGCCTCTACACACTAGCTATGGAAGGACTGAGCCTAGAAGCCAGGACTCTTAAGTCCAATCTGTCTCCAGTCTCCAGACAGCTGTTAGCATCAAACAGTCTCCAGGCTGCAGGCAAACAGGCAGATTCAGGAAGAGGGCCATCTTCTTGTCCATAGCCCACTTCCCTGTAGGGCTCAAGCACTCGCTCTTCCCACACTGATAAGCCCAATGCAACAACTATAATTAAAACAGTTAATGTCAGGTTATTTCCTCCATACACAAGTTCTCAAACTGATTTTTTTTTAATTCTCTTTAGACACTTTTATTAGTTTCAGTGAGAACTTCCTGGCTTCTACTTTTTTTCTTTAAATAAAAAGGAAAACCTCTCAGTAGAAAAGGAATGTTCTGCAGGCATACAGCAAGCTGAAGCTCTGTCCCCCTGTGGGGATCTGCTACAGAGGAGGAAATGAGGAGGCCAGCACCTGCCTCCTCCCCTACTAGCCCTACGTTGCTGTGCAATCGTAGGCAAGGCTCAATCTCGGGGACACACAGTTCTCTACCTGTTAACTGAGCTGGGGGATGACTAAATGCTCCAGAGGTCCCCTATAATCCAACACTGTCACTTCCCTCATCCAAAGTACACAAATGGCATGCCCTATACCTGCAGGAAGCTATCCAAAGGAACAGAAGGACCCCGCCACTTTGACTCAGGAAGCCCTGAAGGAGGGTAAGGGAGGGAGGCCCTATTCCTATTAAGTGCCCTGGCAAATCATTAGTGACAGGTTCAGAGAAATACAAACAATCTTAAAAATAGTATGTGACAACCTAGCAAATAACTTTTCAGCCTAGCTTTAGTGAACCAATCCAATTCAGTGACTGAAAAGGAGGTAGGCTTACCAGGCTAATAATTAATGATATTTGGGTGATTTGTGGGATCATGCTACCTTGAACCTTTACCATTTACAAGGCCATGGTTCTCAAACTTTAGTACAAATTAGAATCACCTGGAGGGTTTGTTAAACCACAAGAGCGCTGCACCCAATCCCAGTTTCTCATGTGAGTAGTTCCACGTGGGGCCTGACAATACCCCTATTACGTTCAAAGGCAATGCTGATGTTACAGGTCTGAACAACCACATTCTGAGAACGAATGTGTTAAAACATGTATCCATCGAAAACCATAGACTCCAGCAGAGGTCTGGAAGCATCTAGATGATAACAAACTGCATAAATACACAAAAGATAAAGTAAAATTTGTGATTTATGACTTTATTCCTGTGCTATTTCTCAACAAATACTATAACTTATTTGCCATACAATGAAAGTTAAAACCTTGATTATCTGCTGGGGATTTAGCTCAGTGGTGTAAGCACCTGCCTGGCAAGCACAAGGTTGTGAGTTTGAGTCCCAGTACCAAAAAAAAAAAAAAAAAAAAAAAACCTTGATAATCCAAATTTATAAAGGTGAAACTAGGAAATCTCTTGTCTCAAAATCTATTTTATTCTTTCCACCAAGTAAAACACTTAAATACAACAATGAAACTGGAAGGTTAGCGTCACAGTTGTAAAATGAAAGTAAAATGCTCAATCAAATGACAGGCAGAGAACTGACACTTGAATTATGTTTTAATGAAATCCAAGAAACTAGTGACTCACAAAGAGTGACTTTTTCCTAAATTTTCTTTAGCCACACACAGTGGGCACTAAATAAATTAATGGCTGAGTGAAATCTTAACATGTCTGTGTGTATCTCTATGTATGCATGTTCTCACATATACACCCCAGAAGTAAAACCAAAGAGAAATACCAGTGGTTATTGTTTCATCTATAATTTGGCAATATGACACACAATCTAGAAGTTGACTTCCAGCATCCACAATTTTCCAGTGTATTTGGATACTCGCTGTCTAAATCCAGAAAGACACTCAGAGAGCTTTGGCTCAAGCAGATACGGTCCTGATGTCAAGGACACTGCAGCTCACAGAACCTTACTCCTGTCTTCAGGAACCTTATTTCTTTTAGGGAAAGATGGGTAACAAAGGAGTTTTTCAGACAGTGGTTCATTCCGTTAGGAACAAGACTCAGTAATGGAACACAAAGCAGTCATGAAGGCAGGGGTGTGGTGTACAGAAAAAGCTTGCTGAGGAGGTTACCTCTGAGAGGAGAGTGACATGAACATAGTCACAAGATAGAAGAAAAAGCACCCCAGGTAGAGGAAATGACAAATGTAAAAGCCTTGAGGTAAGAACAAGGTATTCTAGGCTCATAATGCCTAGAGAATATTAACGAAATAATTGAACACAGGATACACAGATGGGCAGGCATTAGGTCCCAGAAAGTGTAGTGAAGTTCAGAGCTTCTACTCTTAGTGGGAGAGTAAACTACTGGGTTATGTTAAGTAAGGAAACATAAAAGTAAAATGATACAATTTACTATAGGATATGACATATCTATGAATGGCATAAATTCTTCCCAATTGCCATCACTAGTAATTTAATAAGACATACTAAACTACTGTAAACAAAACTCACTGCTCTTCTTTTAAAAGATATAGCACTTCAGAAATAAGGAGAAGTGATTCACTAAAGGTAAACTGAACACTACATATGACAAAAATATCATTAAACCCTAATATAATTCTACCAATATTTGCTGAACAACTACTATGAGGTTAGCATTGCATGGAAATTAAACCCAAACATACGATTCTTACAATCTCATAGAGAGAGGTTAAGGTTAAGGACAGAGAAAATGTGACTTACACAAATGACTAAGAAAAATAAAAACAATATAAAAATTGCTTTTTTTAGATACCTTTAGTGTACCCTCTTAATATCAACTTCAGACCCTTTCACAAAGAATCTCTAAGATACACAATACAAACACTTGTTTAGCACTAACTATGACTCAGTCCAGACAAGGCTGGTAGTGTTTATTCAAGTTTATCAGCCTCAACTACATACAAATACTGAAAGCAACAAATAAACTGCCATTGACTTTTACCAGTTCCAGTGCCTCACAAAAGTATCTATTTAGAGATAGGCAGAGGTATTTAAGACATGATAGGATTCTCCCTGAAACTTCCTCTGGGCTCTACCTAAACTTTTCCAAGGTTTTTCCTTACCAAGCCAGCTATCTAACACAAGCTCAAAAGCTCCTTTTGTTTTAGGGATCTCTAACATGTGTAATTAAGTCTAGTACCCTGACAGGGTAATCTGAGCAGCCTTCAATGTGTTTCATTTGTTGCACTAACATGTAATCATTTTAAATTGGTATTACTTGTTGCTTTGTAACCTCTTCAAATAGGCCTCTGTGTACTGTCTGTCTCACATGACTCCTTGGCCTTCTGTTTGCAGTAAGTATCTACTGCTCACTCAGAAGAGATTTTACTGCTTTGAAGGTTGGTGTTCCTAAAATAAGTGAAGAAGAGTTGTACAGGGGTTTTTTGTGTCCTTCAACATTCATGCAAATTTTAAGTAGCTGCACTGGAGAGAGAGGAAATCTGAGTTTATGCCTAGGACTTGGCTCTAGCCAGTTCTGGCACATGGGCTCTGGAAAGGGTGCAGCAAAATGAGCACAACTAAAGTTTTCTAAAGTGACAAAAATAGGAGAACTGAGGGCAGACAAGGAGATACCAGGGATTTGCAGTAATTTTGTAGCACCCTATAATCTCAAACAACAAAGCTTTCATTACTTTTTTTATTACATATTTTTGGGATCAGGCCACGAAAAAAAAAAAATCCAAACAAACAGAAGTGCAGAAACTTCAAATCCCAAGTGCTACATTTAAATAAAAATGAGTGGAAAAACAGCTGTCATCTTCTGTAGAATTAGTCTTAATTACAAGGCACCACCAATAAAATGCAATAAGTGAGGTATGAATTTTATTTTCCAGGTAATGTGCTGAAGATTTTTATATTCTTCAGAGATACCATCTAATAGAAAATATGTTTCCTACCCAAGAGACACAGATATGAAATTCAGGGGAAAAGCTTAAGATATAGGGTTTAGAATTTTAAAAAGTGCTACTTTCCAAAAACTGAAAAACATGCTTTGACTTAGAGGAAAAGGATCAAGAAAAATGAATTTA